GGGAGTGAGGTTCCAAAGCGGTTTGGCTTGCTTCAGTGTCATACCAGAATTGATTCTGGCATGAACCCCAGAGTTGGTGCCAGGAGAGAGGGCTGCATAGATGGTGGTGCAGTTTTGGGAAAGTGTCAGGGTAGGCATCTAATAGTGCTCACAACCAGTGCTGATATGTGTGCTGATGAATGCACAGGTGACACAGGGCCTGCACCAGAACCAGTACTGCAGGCACAATCAGCTAGCTAAGCTCCCTGGCAGCCTCAAAGGTGTCCAGTATGGAGGGGAAGTCCAGGTCCTCTCCAAGACTCCTTTTACTGGGGAGTCCAGCAAGCCTGGACTCAACAGCTCTATCCTTGGGGCCATCGTTAATGGTACTGGGAGTTCCTACACTGTTTTTATAGTGTCTTGCCAAGGGATGCACCAAAGAGGCTGGGGATGGGCCCAGCACCAAGGGTCTGAGTGCTGACTCCATAAGCAGGAGTTTCAAGTGTTGATCTCACTTTCTTAGTTCTCAGCTTGAAACTTCTACAAATATTGCACTTATCTATTAAGTGTCCTTCACCTAAGCACTTGAGCCAAGCCATATGCAGGTCTCCTCTGGGCATAGCCATGCCACAGGAACTGCAGTGCTTAAAGCTCTGCTGCATGCTCTGAGGGAAACACTACTGGAGAACAAAAACATACAAACAATAGGCAGGAGGGGCCCTCCAAAGAGAACTATCAACTAACTAAGGCCTGGGAAAAATACAGCCTTCGGGCCAGATCTGGCCCACCAAACCAGTAGATCCAGCCTGTGGACGCAGCTGGGAACCTCAGGCAGGCTCCTTGCTTGCCTGGCCTCATCCCCATGCTGCTCAGAAAAGCAGCTGCTGGGCCATTTCTCTTTCAAAACTGTGATCTCGGAGGGGAAGGGGAAAGGCTTTAGATGCTGCTCCTGCCTCCAGCACAATCCCACTGGGCGGTTTCTGGCCAGAAACAGGTCAATGGAAGCTGCCTGTCTGAACAACAAGCAGCCATGAAACACCACGCCCCTTCCCCTCTGGCTCATAGTTATTCACACATGCACATGGACCTGTAGCCTGTACGGGGGTGGGACAGGCATAGAAGTTGTGTGAGAAACATTAGGCGTTGCTAGCCAGGAGTCCCCCAGGTAGGTCTCCCAGCTACTACCTCTTCTTTGTTGCCAACAATGGAGAACAGCTTCGGCATCTCTTCAGAGAAGCACCTGCCCCACTACAAGAAATCGCAACACTTTCTGAGCCTGAGGAGGGGTTTTGGTATCAGGTCAGACTGCATAAGTTGTTTGAGGCACAGGACCCACACCACTTGCATCATCTTTCTGACAAATCTACAGATCCAACAACACTCTTCAAGGTGGGTATTACCAAGACAAAAGAAGCACTGTGTGAGGGGGGTCACTTTTGGGAATTCCCAATACTATCGCTAACACTGTATTCTATAACTTTTAAAAAAATAGGCTGAGAAAGGATGAATACAACCACACAGGGATCTGACATCAGCCAACAAGTGGGAAGAAGGAACTGAAAGGGGTCAGGAGATGGGACTATAACCAGGAGTGGGGCTACAGTGTATATGTTTTTGTCCTTTTCCATTGTAGTTGAATGTCACTCGAGCCTTCATTTTCTGAATTTAAAACATATGGCTTTGAACCAGAAGAACAAAAATACTTTAAATTAACTTCCCTTATTCTCTGGGGACTGTTACAGACGCAGAGACTACAGTTTAGGCATCCATGAGATTTATTTTGCTCTGGTGTTAGTTTCAACTGAAGCTTCGTATATACAAACAACTTCCTTACCAAAATTCACGGACACGTCTTTTCCAGTGTAACGACTTTTATAAATGATATCATGTTGCGAGAAATATGAATGTCTTTAAGAACAAATGTTAATCTCTCCAAAACTAAGGTTAAAACTAGCTTCCCATTATAAACATAATTATGACTCCATTACACATCAAACTAATCTATCTGAACTTTAACCTATTAACTTTATGGTACTTTTTTAAAGCTTGATCCTGGTGAGGAATAGTTTTGAGAGACGTGGATACAGAATTATTTAGATATTATTAGTGATTTTTATGCACATAATGAAGCATGCATTGCTCATGCAATCATTAAAATCACTCATCAAATAGATGCATGTTTATACATTTCTTGTTTAGATTTTAGTGGAGAGACCAAGGGAAAAATAGGAGCTACATGCCTGCGAAGCTTCCAAATTCTACCTAAGTACATGTCCATCCTCAATTCCTCCTACAGAGTTTAGGAACTGTCTTCCATGGAACTCATGGAAGTCTGCAGGAGCACAGGGAGGAGGAAATGCTAGTAGGTGACTGAACCATTTTCAAATAAAGTAAATGCCAAGCTAAAAATTGTTTACTCTATAATTCATGTTGAATACATTGTCATTTTCCAGTGAATCCTTGTCAATTATTTTTTTATAAAAACATAAATAGTTGCCTGGAAATTCAAGGTTAAAGTTCCATTTTATAGAGTCCTAAGCACTCTGATATTTGAAAATACACTGTTAAGATCACACAACCAACCTTAATTCTGCTCCAGAAGCATGACTCTGGGAATTAACAGGAACCCAGAAACAGCCTTATCTACTATGTAACACTGATGAGAGAAGTATATGAACCTAAGCAGAATTAGAATGGAATCCCTTTTGTAGGTTCATCACATTAATGACCAAAATAACTGGAAGACTCTACTCCTAATTGTGCAGAGCTTCTGTTGATTCCAGTGTTCTTTACTATTGTACAGTTGTCCCACAAAATGTATTTTACATTCCTTGGCTTTATAAATAGACAACCGAGAACAATCAATTACCACTGAACACAAAGATGCAACGTTCAGTCAATTGTACAAGTATCATTAATACAAGTGTCATTAAACACCAAGGGTATGTCTACACTGCTATCCTAGTTCGAACTAGGGTGGCTAATGTAGGCATTCGAAGTTTCAAATGAAGCCCACGAGGAGTAACGGTAGTTCAAATTAGAGAGCCTAATTCGAACTACCTACTCTGTGCCGCGTGTAGCCGCGGGCACGGAGTCTGCACTAACGGGGGTTTAAAAATGGCGGTGCCTGGCAAGATGCAAATGAAGCCCAGGATATTTAAATCCCGGGCTTCATTTGCAACTCCGCTTGCCCTAATTACCCTACCTAGCTTGAACTATATTTTATGTATAGAAATCTTGTAGGCTAAGAACACAAATTTCATGAGGAGAAACGGTAGTTCGAATTAGGATCTTTAATTCCAACTACCTACTCCATGCCGCGTGTAGCCGTGGGCACGGAGTTCGGACTAAGGGGGATTTTAAAATGGCGGCACCCAGGAACATGCAAACGAAGCCCAGGATATTTAAATCCCGGGCTTCATTTGCAACTCCGCTTGCCCTAATTACCCTACCTAGCTTGAACTAATGAGCTAGTGTAGACATACCCCAATTTAGATATTAAAATACATTATTTATGTAAATTCCAGTATGAAGTTGTTTTGTTATTTTATTGCCTCTTTGTTTTTACTACTGCATAGTTATACCAAGGAACATGTCAATATCTGAGCCCTATTCTTAAGGTCACCAAGTTTTATCATAGGATTCCAAGCCTACCGGGGTGCTAGAACAATCTGTATAATCAGGACGCTGAGAGTCATTGATCCTCCCAAACTACTTCAAGCTGGGGATGCGGCAGCACACCCTCCCACCCTTCCCCACACTAGTTCCAGCACTTTTGCAGCCTACATGATGTTAGCACAATTAGTAAGCTTCCTGTCTAAAGTTAAACTGTACTAGAAGACTCTACTACAGCGTGACCCCATTGATATAGCAATGAAAATGAGAATCAGTCGTCACTACCTACTTCACTTTTAATATTTTATCACAATATTTAAAATGATAGGTAACGTCACGATTCCTTATTAACCAAAGCAAATTGTCTGAGCCAAGTCAAAAGTAGTGTTCATAGTTTAAATTCCTGAAATACAGTACTTTAAGAGGTTAGCCAAGTATATTGAACATAAACACAATTTTCAAGTTTTATTCAATGAGTTTAACTACAACAAAAAGCAATGAAAAGGAAATAATGCTTGCACTTTGATTAACTAACAGGCAGCTAAGTGCCATTATGTTTTTAATGTTACAAGTATATATTGGAAGATATAAACAGAAACCTGTTTTCAGCATACAAAAAGAAATACTTAATAACCCAGCATAGGTCCTGATGCTGTTCTTATTAAAGTCTCATCTACTGACAACACTGAGTGCAGGATCAGTCACATAATTTGTGCTTTTACTTTTTATATATAATTTGATTGAATACAGACATAAGCACATTCCACGTATTCACTTTATGGATTTTATGCATTTTCCAATGAACACCATGCATCTATTACAAAACTCCTATTGCTTTATTAACTAACATTTACTTCTAAATATCAGTAAAATGTTTGCTGAGGTTTTTTCAATGTTGACATCATGAACGGTGGCTAAGTGCAAGAATTTTCTTTACCAAAACAAAACAAAAAAGTCAGGACAAGGCAAGTTGAGCAATTACACTGTTCATATATTTAGAATGAAACACTCTAGGAACCAGTAACATAAGCAGTCAGAATTTAATCACAGTTTTATCACTTTATTAAATACTGCAAGATTCTTTAAAGTGAATTGACCAGCAACAAGCTAGGAAACCTATAGACAATTGTGTGTGCACAATTTTAATTAGAAAGAGTTAATGCAGACATTATGAGAGTATTATTTTTTTTATCTGCAGAGATTAGTAAACAGTGACTAAAAAATAGAAGCATGTCAAAGTGAAAAATGCATTGATATAAAATGCTGCAACATTGCTTTCTACTGTCTACACAAGAAAGGTCCTCCTGCATTTCATAAAATAAGAAAAACTTTTTGGTATTAGATACTATATAAACGGTACCTTTTTCTGTTGTAGTCCACAGCATCCATATCATACCAACTTGTACTAAAAACAACGCAATAGAATGGAAACTGGAATAAAACAAACATCCAAAACAAGCAAATAGCATTCGGCTATACAAGATGACAGTCTGTTCTCGTCTACAGAGGCTATGCCTAAGAGCCTGCAGAGAAAAGGAGTGCAGTGCCAAATCTTAATCCCTTTGCAGAATTTCACATGGTGCTGCCTCACCTCTTTAGTTTCTGTGAAACCTATTGCTCTTATCACCCAGTTTAATTCATTATTTAAAAAAACACACACAAAGAAAATCTGGAATATATCATACTGCTGAAACATACTGCAACTTGCATGTTTGCTAATGTTTACATTTCTGCAAATTAAATGATGTATTGTTAAATTTATTTGAAAGCACTGTTTCAGACTTATGGTATTACATGCATTCTTGCAAAGTAAAATTTTTTGAAGAGATTTAGCATTTAAACTATTTTTGCTGATTTCAACTAGTAATTCTTTACTAGTCCAGAATATGAAGTCACTGATACACTGCAAACTGATAACTCCAAACAAGAGAGAGAGAGAGATTTCCCCAAAATTAGGAACTGTTAAATATGCTGTTAAACTGTAGGATACAGTTAACACTGTTGAACATTTTCAGAAGAATTAGCTGTTAAACACTGTTGAACATTTTCAGAAGAATTATCCTGTACACATTATGGGTCAAATTCTACTGTCAGAACTGTATCACAAAGGCATGATTTCAGTTGATTACTGGAAATACAGTCTCCCTGTGCACTTCCATGCTGCAGGCTGCCCTGCTAATAACAACAGATATCCTTTTCTACTGACCCTCCATAATGGTATTTCAGATCTACAAAGGGGAACACTGTTTAGGGAGAAAGTGGATACTTCACAAACAATTACTCAAAATCTATACTTTTAATGGGGGAACAAGAAATCCTATGTACAACTCTAGAGGCATATAGGGTTCACAGAGTAGCCTCATATGGTCAAGGTAGAATTCCTCCAGTGCAGGAGTTGTCATAAAAGCACCATGCAGCAACCTCCTGCAGCTCCTAACATAGGAGGAAGATAAATAGGAGTACAGGGCATCCCCACTATAAGTCACCCCCGGTATACATCCGTTCCATACTAAAGTCATTGACATTTGTAGGAACTGATGCACTATTAGTCCTCTCATTCCCCGCTATAAGTCATGTGAAACACTCCCCCCAATTTGCTTAAATGGAAGTCAGCAGTGGGAAAAAAATTCCCCACTTTAAATTGTTTCACTATAAGTCCACGTTTTTTGGAACGTATCTTGGACTTACAGTGAGGACAGTCTGTATATAATGCTAATCTCTACAAGGGGTAGGGCTGAGGCAAAGCCTTTAGGCATGCCTGGCAAGGCTGACATCAGTGAAAGTAAACCTGCGGACTGCTCCAGGTTACATGGGGGAACATACCATTCCTTAAAACAGCCCAGAATAGGAAGGCTGAAAAGGTAATTTACACCTCTCCCCTCCCCCCCCTTTTTTTCCCTGTGCTGTCTCTCCCAAGAAGTGCATACGGACATACCAAAATCTCTTTGAGACTCTTTACCATCTGGAAAAGATCACATTACAACAAACCTTCAAAGGAATAACCTGGGCTCTGCAGTTACTTCAGTTGTGCATTTACTAACAAAATGTAGGGAGAGTTATGCAAAAGTTAACTGCCTACATCAGAAGTGACTAAGCCCAGTTACAGTACAAGCAGCACCAGCAGACAGGCTTTCTGAACCATTCACAGATCCATGCAACTGCTTTTACATGGGTTGTATGTAAAGGCACACTGTGGGTGTAAAAAAAGGAAAAGTGGCCCTGTTTTGTTTTAAAGAGAGCTTGGTCTGAAGGAAACAAAGTTGTTAATATGCTGAAGCAGGAAAAAAAGAGGAGGTTATTCACCTCCTGTAATTGACATTCTTCGAGATGAGCTTCCCTGGGGGTGCTCCACAGAAGGTGTTGAGCATCTTAGCACCTCTGGATGGAGTTTTGCCTAGTAGTGCATCAGGGGGTCGCGCATGCGCACACGTGGCCCCCTTCCCTCCTCAGTCCCTTCTCTATCCAGAACCCGGAGAAGGAGTGTAATTTACGTGTTTGCAGTTTTTCTTTTTTTTGAGTTTCCAAAGTAGAGGGGAGGAAGGGAGGGTAGTGGAGCACTCCTGGCATTCATCTTGAAGAATGTCAGTTACAGAAGGTGAGTAACCTCCTCTTCTTTTTCAAGGGTGCTCCACAGAAGGCGACTACAAGCAATCCATGTTAAGGAGGTAGGGACTTCAGATCTGGTAAGCATGCTGTCTGCAGGACACCTTTTGCTAGTCTAGTATGTAGTAGAGGACCTGAAGCAAACGAATAACGCTTTGCAAAGATGTGATCCGAGGACCATGTTGCCACTGCGCAAATGTCCTCCAGTGGAACTTTCCTCAGGTATGCTACCGAGGTTGCAACTGCTTTTATAGCGTGCGCCCAGATTGAAGCAGGTGGAGGTAAGTTATTAAGCAAATATTATGTGGTGATGCATTCCGATATCCATTGGGATAGTCTCTGTGATCTTTTCTTCCCCATGGTACGGTTCACAATGGAAACAAACAGCTGTGGGGAAGATCTGAACGGCTTTGTCCTGTCTATGTAGAAGGAGAGAGCTCTTTTGACATCCAGAGTGTACATCTGTGCTTCAAAGGCATTGGCATGAGGCTTTGGGAAAAACACAGGTAAGTGTATTGTCTGGTTGATGTGAAAGGCTGTACAGATCTTAGGTAAGAATTTCGGGTGCGGATGCATGGACACCATATCTTTGAGAAAGTGCTGAGGTAACTGCCACTAGGAAAGCCGTTTTCAGCATTAAGTGGCACAAGGAACATGTGGCCATAGGTTCAAAGAGTGGTTTTGTTCATGTTGTCAGGACTAGGTGGAGGTCCCATAGTTCTCGTGGGCGTGACAAGTTAGGGTATAGAGCTTGCAGACCCTTCAAAAAACATTTAGTTGTGAGGGTACAAATAAAGTGGTGTCATCCGCAAATAAAGTGGCGTCATCCACTGGTGCATGGAATGTAGTTATTGCTGCTAAGTGCACTCTAATTGAGGCTAACGAGAGGTGAGACTGTTTTAGGTGCAATAAGTATTCCAGAATTACAGGGAGTGGGGAGATTTGCATCAATATGTTGCGCTTGCTGGCCCAATGTGTAAAACAGGTCCATTTACTGATGTATGTTTTCCTTGTTGCAGGAGCTCTGCTGTGCAGGAGGACCTCACGGACTTGCTGAGAACAGTGGAGCTCTATGCTAGTGAACTATTGAGATGCCACACTTTCAGCTGAAGCATGAGGAGTTGAGGGTGAAGTGTCCTGATTTGTGGGTGATGGAAAATGTGTGGGACTTGCAGTAGCGTGATTGGATGGCTTTGTGTCATCCTGAGTAATAGGGGAAACCAAGGTTGGCATTGCCAACATGGGGCTATAAGGATGATCTTTGCTTTGTCCCTCCATATCTTTATAATGACTCTGTTTAGGAGGAGAAATGGGGGAAATGCATATAGCAGGGGTGCACTCCATGTTAGAATCAAAGCGTCCCCTAAGGACTGTTTCCCTATGCCTGCTCAGGAGCAATACATCATGCATTTTCTGTTGGTTCTGGTGGCAAACAGATCTATGTAGGGGAAACCCCATTGATTGAATATTTTCTTCAGGATTCTGGTCCAGCTCCCATTCATGTTCCTGGGGAAGGGCTTTGCTTAGGGCACCTGCTGTCGTATTGAGTGCGCCAGGCAGATGGAAAGCAGATACACAGATATCTCGCGCTAATGCCCAGTTCCAAAGGGCTATGGCTTCTTTGCACAGAGGCTGCACTCATGCTTCGCCTTGGCAGTTTATATTGACCATGCATGCCATATTGTCCGTGTAAATGCAGACGTGTATCCCTTTGACTTGAGGGAGCAATTTTTGGCATGCCAGGCAGATAGCTCCGAGTTCTAAAATATTGACATGTAGAGCACGCTCTGCAGCAGACTATAGACCCTGAGCTATTCTTCCTTCCATGTGAGCGCCTCAGCCCGTGAGTGATGCATCTGTGTTGATGACTATTGTCAGTTCTGTGGATTGGAAGGGTATGCCTATGCTTAGGTTGGACGTTCTTGTCCACCACTTTAGAGATGCCTTGACTGAGCATGGAAGTGTTAGTCTTTTGGTCATTGAATGAATGTGTGATTTGTATTGGGTTCGGAGCCAATCCTGAAGACACCTCATAAAGAGTCGTGCGTTGGGCACCACTCGGTTGCAGGAAGTCTGAAATGACCACTTACATATACAAGTCACCTCCCCATATAGCAGGACAGGAAAAAAGAGGTTACCTTGTGCAGTAACTGGTGTTCTTCAAGATGGGCGTCCCTGTGGATGCTCCACTACAGGTGTTTTGGCGCCCCTGCACTTAAAGTCAGATATATTTAGCAGTGGTATCCCGAGTGCTGACACGCATGTGTGGTGCCATCTTGCTGCGTAGTGATGGGCCAGCGCACACACATCATCAACTGTCCCTCAGTTCCTTCTCTACCACAGAGAGATGTTAAAACTCCGAACCTAGTAAGAACTCTACCTGGTTCTTCATGCACCAATGCCACAGTGCTATGACTTCTTTGGATAGGTGGTATGATCTCGCACCTCCTTGACAGTTTATATAAAACATGCATGCACTGCTATCTGTGAGGATTCTTACTACTTTGTTGCAAATCAACAGGAGGAATGTTCACATGCTTGTCTGACCACTCAAAGCTCTAGTACATTGATGTATTGTGCTCTGTCTGTTAGGGACCATCATCCCTGGATACTGTGGTTTTCCACATGGAAACAGTAATTTATAGGAGGAAGATTTTTCATGGTACAATGACAGATAAATGTTTACCTCCTGTGGACTTCCAGTTAAGTTTCCAGATGCATGCCCCATCTTTCTAGAGAGGTGTCCATAGTAATTGTGACTGAAGGATGCCTCTGTTGGAATGGTACTCCCATACATAGGTTCTGAGGCTGTAAAAACCAATATAGTGACTGCTTTACCCTTTTGGGGACACTTAAGAGATGTCTGTAAATGGTGCTTGTGAGGTTTAAAGCATATGCACATCAATGTTTGAAGGCAGCACATGTGCAGCCTGCCTAGTCTAAAACATAAGTCATTGGGTGACATGTAGTCTAGAAGTTGAAGGCATTGCCTAGCTGATACAGTAGAATTGTTCATAATAGTTCGAGCCAAAGATGCAAGTGCTTGGAAACAATGGTACAGTAATCTGGCCTGCACCCGGACACAGTCCAATGTCGCCCCTATAAATTCCAGTTCTTGGGTATGGGTTGACTGTTTATTTGGAGGCCCAGAGTATTGAAGAGGGTGATGGTGTGCATTGTGTATGCGGTCAATAACTGAGCTGTGGGAGCCACTATT